AGAGGGAAGAGGGCAGAGGGAGAAGCAGACCCCCTGCTGAGCAGGGAGCCCGATGCAGGACTCGATCCCGGGACTCCAGGATCATGACCTGAGCCCAAGGCAGTCGCCCAACCAACTGAGCCACCCAGGCGCCCCTGGAAACCTTTTTTTTTTTTAAGATTGATTTATTTGAGAGAAAGTGTGTGTTGGGGCTGGGGAGGGGCAGGAAAGGGGCAGAGGGAGAGATGTAATCTCAAGCGAACTCCCCATTGAGGACGGGCCCCACGCGGGAAGGGGGTTTGGGGGTGGGCTGGAGTGGGGCGGTGATTTCAGGACACTGAGATTATGACCTGAGCAGAAATCAAGAGTGGCATGCTTAACAGACTCAGCCACCCAGGCACCCCTGGAAACTTTTTTTTTTTTTTTTAATACGAAGCGGATAATATACCTCTCGGCCATGTTGCTTCCTGTCCAGCCTGGGGAACGCAATGTAGCCTGCACCACGTTCGCCTCCCCAGGCTCCAGACTTTGACAATTTACCAATCTTCCGCAAAAGTGCACGTTGAGGATCTGAGATAATTGCAGCAGCTCCTCACCTTCCCGGCCTTCAACCGCTCTGGCCGCGAACCCACCCCTTTGCCCTGCGCAGTCGGACGTGCCAACATGGCCGCCCCCACGGCCACCAGGAGCGGCGGACATATTGCCTCTCCAGAAACACCGGAAACCGTCGTTCGTGCTTTTCCGGAGGCCTCGGGTCCCTGGGCCATCACACGCTGCGCAGTTCACGGAACGTCAACGTTTCGGTTTTTCCCTTGGGCCTGACAGAAACCAGGTCGGTGTGCGGTTTTGCCCCTGGAAGGTTTTTGTTTTTTATGTTTGTTTTTGTTTCGTCCCAGTAGGGGTTTTGCTTCTCACAGGGTGACGTGTGGACAGGCTGTGGTAGGGACCCCTGAAATCATTGCCGGGGGCGGATGGGGAGCCTACAAGTGCAGAGGTGGAGGTATTCAAGGAGAAGCAGGTGGGACGCTGACTTGAGGTACTGGGGGGGCGGACCAGGCAGATCTGTCTGTGGTTGGGGTGCAGTGGGGGTTTATAGTTCAAAACCCCTGGGGGGGGGTGTGTTTAAAGCCTTTTGTCCAGGGATTACCTGCAGACGGAGGGACTAAACCGCCACCCCATTCCCCTCTGTTAGGCGTCATCTATGGCTGCTTTCCCATAGCAAAGGAAGAACTGAGTACTTGGGGCAGAGATCTTAAAGTTGAAAATGGGTAACACTCACCTCTTAGTACATACCAGCGGCGAACCCTGTTGCTTACTGGCTGTTCTTTGCTAACAGAGTCTCCATTTTCTTTAGCATCCTTCCCTCTGGCAAGGTGACCCACATCTCAGTTTATTAGTAAGTGCTGGTTGGTCTTAGTCAATCATGGTGGTTCCAGTTCCCATTGCTGATGACTGAATTTCTGTGAATGAGCTTAGTATATTATATCGTGCAGTTCTAGGCAGCTATATGTGAAAATCTGCTTAGTGGTTTCTTT